ATATATGAAAAATGCGATTTGATCTATCTCCTAAAAAGCAAACGCACACTTGAAAATCATGCTTAATTTAATATTACATTATTATCAATATTAGTTATAATATATGCGTATAATAATCATATATGTTACTAGATATTTACAATAATAATACATAAATTGATTATATCAATGCTGACAATAAATATAATATTCCTTTCAAGTGTGCGATTGCTTCTCGGAAAAACACAGATTGTTGAAATTTGCTGGGATATCTTGAAAATACAAACGAGTGAAACATTTAATCAAGTTAGCACCTTGAGATTTCGTTACCAATGGATTGATGGCGCCGTGCGAGCGGACTATCATGTGCGAAAGCAAAGGGCTCTTGCTCGCATATATGTTGGCTGTCAAAAGTTGAAAATGTAGACGATCCACAAGAATGCTTGAGGTTCATCAGCAGGGCCTATTTTCTGAAAACAATAAAATGGGTTGGACGCGGACGTCAGGGCTTGAATGCCGTAACGTTGATTTTGTGATTTTATAGCACAAATGAACGAAATTTCGGAGACCTAAATGGGCTGTTTATGGGTTGCATTTCCAACGTACGCAAAAATTGGTTTTGGCCTTTCAACAGGTCCGCACTGGTCTGTTTAACTTTGTGAAGCATTGCGTCGACTCGCCTTACTTTGAAATGGTGGTTGTTGAACAAAAACAACAGTACTACCTGCGAAATTCTATGATTCAGTCTATGTCAGCATAAACTTAATCCGTACCAATAAAATCATAGAGGAACGAGATACGTGGCTATGCAATTAGCCGCCTTTTTGCCGCCAGTAGTCACATAAAGCAGATAGTACGCGAGGCGCGTAGAACGTGGTGTAGCGAGTTATGTGCACACACTACGAATGCAGTCTTAAACTGAGTTCATTCTTGTCTACTGAGCCCCGTAACGCAGGGCCAACTAAGGTGCCATCGCGTACACTCAACTTGTCCATTAGACTCTGTTGAAGAGTTTTTCACAAGAAAAACAAATACAGCAGAAATGACTTGTCTTTTTACTTACGAATCTCGCGATAATCCAAAAATGCAAAGTTTGAAGACCGAAAACAGGTTTAGGGGACAAGTTATTTGCTCGACAGAATGTCACACACTTCGTGCGCGTGTTACGTGGCCCTAGACCCGAGGGAAAACATATTGGATGAGCTTCAATTCGGAAGCTGTCCTGGGAAGCATTCGAGGAGAGAAATATCTCAAAATGTTATCAGAGTGTGGAGTCATATTCTATAACCGTAGCAGATCAAGATATGAACTAGAAACCTTTGTGCCCATTTGATGCACAGTTGAATTTTGCTCCACTGCGTTTTGGAGTATCCTCCAAAAAGCTAAATAAGGAACGATTTGCCAGCAACGCGGCGAAAGACGGCATCAGTTGACAAACGTGGACATAGTAGAGTAGTACGTCGCATCCTGTCGCTTTGTTAATCAAACGTAAAAATCCCACGACATTTTGCTTATCTTCTTTATCATCGTTTGTTCTAAGGACGTAGTAAATCTACTTCACAGAGCGTGCATCATAGCTATACAAACCTGCCACGAAATGCAACCGAAATTATGCGCATCCTCAAAGAGTGAAGGTCTTCATTCAAAGCAACTCTTGAATATGTGGTTACCATGGCGCTAGGCCTCCGTTAGAGTATAGGTAAAGTGTCCATCCACATATTCCTTAAAGGCCTTCGATTTTACAAATTCCGTAGACATTGTACTGCTCCAACCTATTCAGATGTGATTGAGGAATCACCATTTCTAGGTATTGACAGGTGTCTGAAACAGCAAAACTCCGATTTATGACTATATTCTGGATAAAGCCACAGCATCTACACCTTCATATTTGAGCAGTCTCTAGATGTTTTCTTCCGACTAACTGACCTAGATTCATTTGGAAAATACATTTCAATATGAGTAGTCCTCATGGAATCCATTGTGATTTTGAGGTCCAAAATTCGAAGAAGTGAACTCAGGGAATGTATCTTCCGTTTATACATTTGACGCACAGTCATGATTTGCAGACGTTCTTAGAGCTATTGCGACGTTCCGAATGCGAAACTCCTGTTCACTTCTGGATAAGTTGAAAGCAAAAATTGATGGGGTTCCGATTTGAACATCTTTGATAGCCGTGGGATTTGCGCGCGTAATTCTCCATTGCTGATAAATACAACTGAAAATGTTACATGACAGTTAGAATTTGGTTTCCAAATAAATACACGGACTTACCGGCTGTCGCACGTGAACTGAAAAATCGCAGTTGTGTCACGCTGCATTTCCGCCTCAAATTCCACACGTGAAATGAACCTCCATATATCTGAACTACTTATGGACTTCCAGTAATTTCCCGTCGTTCCTTGTGGGTATGCAACTTGACGAAGCTGTACGTATTAGAATTATTTATATTTTATTTCCCATTGCTTTTCATGCTCTTGCTCGAAGCTTGAGGCCCAGGAGCAATGTTATAAGATCGAATCTCCTGTTTTTTGTTCAAAGAATGCCCTTTGATGGTCCAGGATTCAAACACAACCAGTAACTAAGAAAACATACGAGTAAATATTTGAAAGATTGTCTGTTTATATTATAAAGATGCGAAAATAATGCGATACTTATTGACGAAATATGAGTGATTGGAAGAACAGCAATGAGTTGTGATTCACGAAGTCATTGTTGGACAACACGTGGCCTGCATCGTTTCGTCACAGAACAAACTAATTAATCAGTTGAATGAGTTAGTATTTAAGTTATTTGTCAGCTGGATTGCTCGTCGTTACTCCCAGTAATTATTTGTTAGCAGATTTATTCGTCAATTTGTTCCTTCAAAACTGTAGTAATTAGAATTATGTGCTTTTATTTTTAGTTTGCACAACAGCTTTGAATAGACTGGATGTTCCACCATATTCGCCTAGGAGTCCACTTCAGAGGACACATATCGGTGAAATCGAGTTATTTTCACGTAATCCATTATGGCTGGTCGTGGCGTCCACCGATTGATATGCATCAAATTGCAGCTGCCAACTTTCATCTCTCAACTGGGCATAAATATGCTCTGCGATGGTACGGCGAGAGGAACTTTTGGTAATCATTGCGCTTCATCCCGAACTTCCATTGATGATGCCAAATATTTTATAACAAGAACTTTGAAACCATAATTAATAACTTGTTCGGGAAACTACAGTCAATTCTAAGAAAACTTACTCAATCAATGCGATGCGTTTATGAGGACTTACTCATTTTCATTGCTGAAAATCATAGGTAAGTGACAAGCTGTATGAATCGAAACTCGACATTTAAAGCTAATTGTGAAATCGTTTCTGAGGCCGAATACATCTCACATGGGTCAGTATCACGGTACACGATGGGTAGCCGAAACGTCTTACGGAGATTAGCTTACTGGTTCCCACTTCCGTTTAATTTTAATACTTCCAGCCTAGAAATCTCATTGAAGACATGATTTGGCTAATATATCATTTGTGTAACGTTCTCATTTCACTTGTATTGATAACGGTTGCAGACAGAATCACATATGTGCCAACAGAATGATAAACAAGAAGTAATATTCAAAGCAACTTCGTTTGGTTACATTCTCTCATTGTTCGTGCTAAACTAAGCGGTGAAGATGGAGAAAAGGAAGAGTGCCTACGCCCCAGAGTTGTTAACTAGAGAAACACCGACTGAACAGTCACAGACTACTGGTAGTGCAGCAAAGCTCTAACAAGCATCTTGTTTACAAATACTGAATATCCATCTCCTCGTTGAACGCGTCCTCCTGAACTTTCCGGGATATTCAATGACTCTTGCTCAAATCCAGGCAAATGCTACCAAGCGACTCCAGAAATTCCGTAAGAGAGATCACTTTTCAAGAGACGCCAACGGGATCTACGAGAATACATACTACGCGCATGCCCCCAATCGGTAGTATCACCGTTACATTAACATCAGTTGTATTGATGAAGGCTGAAGACCGAATCCTACATGTCCTAACAGAATGCCGCTGTAATAAATAAAAAAATAATTTTTGAATTTTTTTCGTTAAATGCTTTCGTTGTTTGTACTAACCTAAACGGTGAAGATATTTTGATCGATTATTCATAATCTTTGGTTAGGTTCTAATGCGTGTATTACAGGGTTTGCACCCGAGACACCCACATGGAAGCTCCTGAGTGCCAGAAATAACGCACACTAAAAATGGAACCAACCATAGAAAACTCTCAGTTGCGTGAGCAGAAAAAACCATCGCACATGAAAACAAAACGGTCTGGATGCATTGCCCAAATGTAACAATAAAGTTTCGCACTTTTGTCCAAACCACTTGTCAGATAATGGCGACATAATTGAGCAAACCAACAACATGTTGTGGCGCGCAGCTGAGAAGACAGTAAGCAACAAGCAACCAATGTAAATTTGAGTGTCCTTCAACCGGACGCAACAGCAGCAATTAAAGACGGTGTTGACAGTCAGCTTTTTGGAGTCACTTTGTCATTCTCAAATAACCTGTGCACATTGGTTCTGAGAATTCGTTCACGCAGCTGGGTACGAATTGGGACACCTGTTGAAAATGTGGCCATGTGCATGTTCAAAGAAATCTTGTCATAGATGCAGGTCTGGCCGCGAAAAACTCAATTTTTTTGCTGCATAAATGCTTCGTTATAAACGTTAACCTATAATCGTTAATTGTTAGCTGGTTAGCTTACAATCCCGAAGTCACCTCAAGGCACGGTGTCATGGCCCATCGTAGCCCGCGTGATAATTTGAAAAGCGAGCAAATCAACGATCCACCATCCTTCATAAGCATGAGGCACATAATCCCATAGTAAGATCCAATAAGTCGCAAACGTGGTTAGCGTTGGGCAAAACTTACATATCTCCTGTCCTGAAAAAGTACAAATACGACTGAGTTGCTGGGGAAAACGAATGATTCCCATAAGAATTGTATAAATTTTGCGGAAGATCGGCTGCCGGGTCATTTTTTCATTGCTTTTGAGACGCGAGGGAGCAAGAGTTTGCTGAGCTTTTATCGGGAATCAGCCGGTAGCTACGTTCACAACGTTTGCATTCCGGATCAACGTTCCAAATTGAGTTCCGAAAAAAACCAAAACGGATTTGTCAACTGAGTTTTGGTTGATATCTATTAGCCACGCATAATTAACCACCCTATTCAGATGTCGGTTTTCATTGAATTCTGTGTGGTTTTGGTCTTCGCCCTCTGCTAGTCCATAAACACAGGCTTTCATGGTTATGCTTTATAAACAGGTAATTACTGAAATTTTGTGGCATTCTCCCGCATCATATTAAAAATCCTCTACTAATGGGGGCAAAACATGTGGTTAGATGCTCTTGAGGTTATGTTGGAGCGACGAAAGATACAGCCTAAAATTCCCCATAAAATTCATTATGTCAGTAAAACTAATCTATTGGAAATAGCAGGGAGCCAGTTTGTTGGGAATTACCAGCAGGGCGTACCTCACGAATCTCATTGGTATTCTAGCACGTGACTTTCTGGCCAATGGTTGTACACAGCCACCTGTGTATGAGCTGCTGATTAGATTGATGGTTGGTGCCAACTTTACTTTATCACTCAGTACCACCCACAATTCAGTCGTTGAAACTAAATCACCTGACTCCGTTCTGAATGCGGCCTCGAGCGGCGACTTCTCACAAGGGAGGTTCACTCACCTTGTGAAAGTATACACTGTTTTAGCTGGTTTTAGACTGATGATAATCTGAGGGGCTTTGATAAGACCAGCGTGTGGTGAAAAACCGGAAACGTTCTGTGAACCTATTGCAACCCCACTGTGATTGATTGGCAATGCGCGTTTCTGGAACATCTGGCAGCCTAGAACTAGCAGCCCCTTGTACACTGCAGTTGGCTCGCAGCGAGAGCGAAAGATTAAAAGGTCTATCGCCTATTCATTGTTGGTCCGCTGGGCTGACAGGATAAAATTTTTGACCAGCTTTGCCAAAATTGCCATCACTGTCCCGTTTGCAGTTTTCGAAAACTTGTGAACTTCCCGATTTGCTCGACGGGTTTTTGAAGGGAAATTTGGTACAAATTATGGAATCCGTACGTTGCGGTGGGCCAGTCAGGAAAGAATTATTTTGTATCCTTATTTTCGAATCAATGATTGCGGGAGAATTTCCAGTGCTTTGTAACGAGATGGCTTTTTGCGATGCAGGTGATTTGCGCGGAGTGACTGTGTGGAATGAGAAGAAGCAGAAGTATGGTGCTGATGAATATTCCCTCGCGATTATCTCAGCCCTACGTGCAATGGGTTGTGATGTCGAATTTCTGTGCCACCAACCGATGATCATCTCTTTTCGAAGGATCCGCAATCCTCAATCCGCGAAGACTGTTATTGGACAGCTACATCCGGGGTCACAATCAGCGACTTGCTTTTGCTTGTCCTTCGCGTACCTGTGACAGTTTTATGCGTAGCACATATAGTTGAGTGCACAGTTTTGCCATTTACTCTCACAAAAGACCCAGTATGACCGGCATTCTGTGCGTGGTGTGCCAGTCTTGATTGCGCTAGCGCTCATCGCTCCTTGCAGAGCATTCAGCAATGTCTGTCCTTTCTTCGGTTGTTAGTCACTAGACGCGTGTTTCCATACCAAACTGTTTACATAATTTGGGGTTCATCTCACCTGACTGAAACTGTTGGTGGCATGAATTCGAATAAGACATCATATTCTACTGCTAACCTTTCACACTCGTCGCGTGCATACACATTTTGTTTGTGACCTTGCTTTTTAAAATCAGATGCCAACAAATTTTGAATTGCTGACGTCACCGTCTTCTTAGTGGGTTTGCAATTCCGTGACACGTACCAAAATAATAGGTGAGTCATCGAAGAGCGTAACCATATTTAAGGGAAAACGTTTTAATATTTTAATAATAATAGTAATTTTTCAACTCTATTATTCTCAAAATTACTCTGAACCACTTTTTGTTTTGCAATTGATAAAGGGCAGAGGTATCACATCACAGAGTACGGCCGCGGCCTCAAATTTACAGTTGCCTTCCTTTATTATCCCAAGTGATGGTGTAGTTTCAAATTTGTGGAACTGATTACATTATTCCTGTGCCGCACAGTTCATAGTTGCACACCACGCGAAAGGGGGGGGGCTCGACTGGTCCCTCGTGTAGGGACATCACATTCACAAGACTTGGACTTCGAAAAAATGTTATTCAACTTTATTCAAAAACCACTTTTTAATTTAAACGCAGGATTCTCATGCGAGGCTTCACCTCGATTAAATTTTTGGCCGTTGGTGTTATTTTCTTCGATTACCGAAAAAAGTTAGCCTTTAGAAAATGCAAAGTCGTTTTGTCACAAAAATTGGGCAAAGCCAAATGGTCCATAAAACTTACCGAATTCCATTGAGTTCAAAGTGTATTCTGGAGGATGCCATCCAGTATAAGAATAAGGCAAAATCAATACATGATAGAGTTAAAAATTTTCCTTGGGGTTGATTCCGCGAAACGCAAGCCACGACATTCGCGCTCAAATTGATCACTCACGCTTCGAGGCGCCTGAGTGAAAAAAACATAAAATCACACCTTTTTCACTATTTTCAAAGTTCAATATAAAAGCCGAGATGTGCAATGATTTCTTTCTGCGTGGTTTTATTAGGCACGGATAAACTAGGACAAAGACTGTTGTGTTTTCTGGCGGGCGAAAATGACTGCCCTCCGGTTGGGTTCTGGTCGTTGGCAGAAGGAGGCCGCATCCAGAGATTTCTGCTGAACATCCTCAGTGGATGAGTAGGTCGTAAATCATTGGTAGGTAGTTCAAACGTTTTTGGTGGATTCAATAAAAGACTACAAGTCTGCCCGGAAAGCGAGGAGAAATACATGCGGCTGCTGAAACTTACAGAAGAAATCGTCTGAAATGAATATCATGAAACGAAATGGGGGTTTATTAGGCGAACCAGCTCTGAACATAACGGGACTATATAACAACCAATCGAATAACCGTTCGCCTGGAGACAGCATTCATTGTTTTTGTTCTTCCTTCGTCCTTGACCGATGAGTTGTATTTTTAGTATAATATTTCGTGCCCGCTTTTACACGACAGTGATTAACGGATCAGCCGGTTCGCACGTTAACTGGATTGTTCTGTTTTGGCCAAGATCAAGGCTCTCAAACAGCCATCAAGACCGGCGTTCACGGTAATAAGGAAGCATTAGGAGGAATGCGGTCAGTAGAATCCGACACCACCAATTGGAATCCTCTGCGTTGGTATGCATGTATTTATATCTAAAAGCTTTTCATCGTTTGCTGACGTCGTCACTGCGGTAAGCCCAGAATAATGAAGGCAAGCCTTAGAGTAGTATTTCACACAGAACGCATAATCAGTGCACGTCAACGGTTCCCCTAGGATGTAAACTCAGAGAGGGTGAATCGTGGCAAATGTGCTAAAACTGCAGATGCGTTCGATGCAGATATGTGACAAGGCATATACTTCCCCAATAAGAGCCATATAAGTCTGGGCGCCTGAAGGGATCACGTAGTGACCGCCTTCATGGTACCAAATGATTTAGCCATCACTCAGAATATCCGCATATACTTGAGCCACAAACTCCTGACACATGCCGGAGAATTTGTCCCGTTACGTGAAATTTTCGAAGCACTCGTGATATGACGATCATTCATACAGTGCTGCTTCTATCCTGTGAGGTTTTCAGTTCATTCGGTCTTTCAAACCACTTTGCTTATTGGACGGAATGGTAAGCACTTCAATGATCTCGACCGGAGCAGGCTAATGAAATACATTTCAGACAAGTTCTTATAAAAATTCTCTCGAATCAGCTAGCTTCGAACGAGCAGAACAGTTTCGTACACAGAATACTGCTAAGCGTTTGTGGGGGTGCTTTTGTTGGGCTCTTACCGTTTTGAGTATTATTCACATGTAAAATCAATATACAGATTACTTACACACGAATAAGAAACTTGACGCATTATATCTGAAATTTCTGACAGGAGATAAATTT